AACAAAAAAAAAACTTCGAATTTTTCTCAACAGATCAAGAAAAACAAGAGGGGTGATGATGATTGATGTTGGTTGTTTTCATGAAACAGCGAAATGGAAGACAACATGGTCATACATGCATTTGCAGAAATCCTGCAAGCGTTGAAAGCCATTACACTCACATCCTTATGGACTCGTTTTTAGAGATAAGCCATACTTTTCAGCTTTTCTACCAAGCGTTTAGCGTTCGTACCCCAGATCTATGCGGACAGATCCTCTTTCGCCACTCTCTGAGTTTTGCGCCCAACGCCATTTCATCAATTTTTTGCTTCTCAAACCTGTGCCACTTGTTTTTGGCGGCTACCATACCCGTGTCTAATCTGTAGGATTCAATTTCAATATATGCTGGGCTACGATTTTCTGTGTACTCGAAATTGCACCGGAGGCGCGGCAATGACAATGACGATTACGCTGATGAACTTCATTTTCAAAGCCTGTCGCGAAATTGCCGTTACCCGCGAAGGTCCTATAGCGGCCACATAGCGTATATAGCTGAGGACATCAAAGCCCACAACATTGCGTTTGTATTTTTCATTAAACTGTTCACAAAACAGCGTCGATTTAGCTCCTCCGTTGCGTACGTATATATTGAATATTAGCGATGCAGTAGTTCCTAGCAACGCCGGTGGCCATGTCCAAGGACGTAGCTAAATGAACGTCAAACATTGAGTCGATATTATTTTTATCAAACGTTCCTGCGGAAACCCATTCTCGAACCTCAGGGATTTAAGATAGAGATTGGTCGCCGCAACAATGCGTACATCAATGTCTCTTCTCCGGTTACATCAGAACATGAAAACCCCGCCGCCCCGCATTTCATTTTCTTGTACGCTAATACGCCGCCCAACAGACTCGCCTGCCATCACGCCTGGGGGGGTGGGGGGGTGGATAACATTCTCCTATTTCTCGCAGAAAAAGGAGACAGCATTCGCCATGCGAAACGCACCCTTACGCGGCCCCCCAGGCTTGTCCGGTATAAATACCTCGGGTCGCACCGATAGCTCTGTCTGCCTCTAAAAGTGTATCCGGGAATGCCACTCAGTTACTCGGTATACGAATGGTCGATCTTTTCTCGTGCTCTCTGCTCATGCAGTTTGCTTCAAGGCTGCGCGTTCCCTTGTAACCCGTTCCCGTTTCGCCGCGCCGAAGAGCAACCCGCGATGCATCATCTGCATCAGCAGCTTGCCGAATCTGTTCTTTGGTTTTCCGCATAGCAGCACTGTATCGATCATATCCGCCGCAGTGACCGATGTTTCCTCTCATCGCTTGTTTCTCATGCTCTTAGACGGCGGATACATGCCTCACCTCTTCTTGTGTTCTCTGTGAGAAGCGTGTCGTAGCTTTCATCGCCAAATACGGATATATCTCTTACCGATACATAGGGTAACTCTGCCAACTCAATACGCACATCAGCAGTAGAAATGCGTTGACCCGTCGTCTGGACGTGGAGGACTATGCGTCTTCACGAACAGCGTGGAGAAAAAATCGCGATTCGATTTCAATCTCTGGAGGGTGTAACCAGACATGATACAGCGATCGTTGTGAGCGGCCAAAAAATTGAATAGCAGCACCGAGCAAGTATCCCATTGACTTACGTCCGCCTGCAAGCGAGCAGTGTAAAGCGACATGCTCTTCTGGGATCCAATCCTCAGGATCAGCCAGCGAAGAAGTGATCCCTGCTAGAGGCGATCTCATCCGAGGTGCGGATATCGTCTAAAAAATTGCCCTCGGCATCTTTAAATACACGGATATGATCGGCGTCGAACTTGACCGTATCGGGGTCGATATCGTGTCCGACAACATCTTTGCAACTCGGCCTTCGTCCAAGAGGCGTTTCTGACAGGTTGCTTTGCCCATAGTTGTCGTCATCACAAATACTTCATCGATGGGCACAGACCTGGCGCTGGACACGCAATGCCCAGAAAGTCTCTGTCATAACTTGCGGTGTGTTGCCGATCACAGCGATTAGTTTGTGCTGCATGTCTCTTTGGGCTATGTCTTCATTTTCTCCTTACAAAATCTCGTAGCGTCCCAGCCCAAACCCCGTCCCCTTACCCACGTGCAGATCCGCGCCCAGCCGCAACAGCGGCAGGAAGGGTTGCCACTCGCCAGCGAACTCCGCTTCGCCGACCAAGCCACCTAACTTCATTCTCCGATCCTGCCGCTGCGAATACCGCTCCCAGTCGTGCCAGCGCAGTGTCGTCGCCACCGCCGATACCCCGGCTGCCCGCTCAATCCACTGCCGATAGTCCTAGGTCCAGCTCGCCCCGCAGTGAAAGCGGGCCAGATCCGAAGCGCGCCGCAACAAGGCTCGCACCAGTAGGAAAAGTCAAGCTGGCGAGTATAGCGCCCCTCGTTCTTGAGTCGCAGCGGCGTGTGCAGCCGCAGCCGCAGCCGCGTTCCAACGGCCTCGGTGTCAGGCGCACCAACGCCGACCGGATAGTCCGACTCCAGTTGTCCAGTACCGGTCTGATAGATGCACCTATCGTCGCTAGGCTCAGGACCGAGGGCAATAACTCGCTGCAAAGCGCTTTGCCGCGCCCGGCCCCTAACCCTCGCTGCCCCATTTCCTCAAAGGCGTAGATGAAGTAGGGCAGGTAGTCCAAGGCACGCCCCACCAAAACCAGTCCGACCCGCAACTCGGCTCCCGGCTCGTAGATTTCCCGCGTTTCCTCGGGCGGTTCAATCACAAAAGGATGTCGGCGCAAAGGTATATCCGCGACTGTCCTTCTCTCCCTCACCACTGGACGGGGTCTCGAAGACATAGTAATACACGCACCGGTCGCTGATCAGACAGGTGGAACAGTCCAGATCCCGCTTGACACAGACTAGCTGTTTGAAGGTATGGCCAAAGGCTCCCCTAAAGGTGGATCCCTTGTAGGGAGGCAACCGCAATTGGCTAGCTGCGGTCATCTCTAGGCGGAAGCGGGCGTAGCGGATTTTGCGCAGTTCGTTCAGCATATCTATATCAGGCGCGTTCCACTTCAAACGCCGCTAGGTTGCGCTCATCCTTGCTGAACTCCACGCCAATTAGGTATCGGCTGGCCCAAGGCGCGGTACTTGTCCGCGTAGCGCCGCTCCTGCAACTGCGCCATGGCGGCGCCGGCGGGGGCCAACTCCACGACCTTGAATTCGAAGAGGTAGACGTTGCCGTTGAAGCGTACGGCCATGTCCAGGCGGCCGTGGCTGCTGCTGTCCTCCACCGTGATATCCAGGCCGAGCCCGGCGAAGTAGGAGTAGAACACGCTGGCGTAGTAGCCCTCGTAGCGGCGATGTCGTTGTTCGTGTACCACTCGTAGGGAATGCTGGCGAAGAACGCCTGGATCAGCGTCTTCAGCCCGGCGAAGTCGTTGACTTCCAACAGCCTGTACAGGCGGACGCTGTTGGCCATCTGCCGTGACGGGTCCCGCACCAGGTGCCGCAGCAGGCTTTTGTTCAGGCCCTGGCGCACCTCCCGGTTGGGATAGCCCAACCGAAACAGGGTCTCCCCGCCGAGGTCCTCTTCATCGGTGATGGTAAGGTAGCCGGTCTGGAACAGCAGGGCCTCGGTGCCGATGTCGTCCACGTCGAAGGTCGAAAGCAGATCCCCGGTGCCGGCCATGTCGCCCAGGGCGAGGGAACCGACCTGGCGATTGAACAACGTTTCCACCAGGAACGTGGGCGTGCCGGTCTCGAACCACCAGGCATCGAATTCGCGACGGTCGAAGAGCAGGAGGACGTCGAAGGGGTTGTACACCTTCTCCTTGCCCCGCCAACTGTAGCCGTTGTACCAGTCGCGGATCTGGTCCCGGTCGAGCCCCGGGAGCTCGGCGCGAACACGGTGTCCAGGTCCGCGTCCGTGTAGCCGCAGATGGCGGAGTAGCGCGGGTCCAGGGTGATGTCCTTGAGATTGTTCAGGCCGGAGAACAGGCTCACCTTGGAGAATTTGCTCACGCCGGTGAGGAAGGTGAACCGGACGTGCGCGTCGCTGTCCTCGATGGCCGCGTAGACGCCGCGCAGGTAGTCGCGGTTGGCGCGGGCCACCTCCGGCGTGTCCAGCGCGTCCAGGATCGGCTTGTCGTACTCGTCGATCAGCACCGCGACGGTGCGCCCGGCCTTTCCGTGCAACGCTTCCATCAAATGGCCGAACCGCTCGGGCCCCGTGACGTATGCCGACGCCACTCCCGCCTGACGCTCGACGGCATCCAGTTGGGCCATCAGGTGGGTGTGCGCGGAGCCGGGCTCTTTGAAGTTGCCGCTGCCGAAGCTGATGTGAAGGACGGGATGGCGAACCGACCAATCCCAATGATCGTGAATGTAGAGCCCCTCGAACAGCCGCTCGTTGCCCTCGAACAGCTCCTTGCACGTGTCCAGGAACAGGCTCTTGCCAAAGCGCCGCGGGCGCGACAGGAAGTAGTGCTTGCCCTCGTCCAGCAACCGCCGGACATACGCCGTCTTGTCCACGTAATAGCAGTTCTCCTCCCGGACTTCGCGGAAGGTCTGCATCCCGATGGGCAGTCTGCGTTTGTTCATGGGCCACCCTAGCCCGCTGCCGAACGATGTCAATGAAGACCGCCCCGGCCGGGATTGAAGCACCGAACGTCGCGTTGTATCGACGTTCCGGGTCTTGTGCCTTTGACGCTGACGGGCCGGCGAGGATTGGAACAGACATGATCAATGCGCATTCCTGACCTGTTTGACCATCACACACCTCCTCCTGTTGACCAACGTCGCGACGGAAAAGAAGGCCCGCGAAGTAGTTCTCCAGGTTGCGGTTCAACTCCATCACGCCTACGTCGATCAGCGGGTAATCGCCGTGGGGCCAGACCTTGGTGAGGCTGGGAGGGTTGCCCTTGGCTATCTTACTTGACTATAATAGCCAGATAGCTTTAACCAGACAGGTCAAAATTATGGAGATTGCCACAGTATCGGGGCTCAAGACATCGTTGAGCGCGTACCTGCGCCAAGTGAAGGCAGGTGAAGAAGTGTTGATTACTGAGCGTGGTCGTCCAATCGCGCGCTTGCTGCCCATCGCCGGTCCGTCGTCGCTCGCCGAGCACTTGAACGAGATGGAAAGAAAAGGACTGCTTAGACGTCCCAAGGCCCCTCTGCCGGCGGACTTTTGGGATTGGCCGCGCCCTGTAGACGCCGATGCGACAGTACGGGCAGCGGTGTCCCGCGAACGGGAAGAGGGCTGGTGAAGTTCTGGGATACGTCGGCCATTGTGCCGCTCTGCATCCAGGACACCGGTACCGCGACCGTACGGGATATTCTGAACGAGGACCCGTCCTTTGTTATATGGTGGGGCACCCGTACCGAGTGTGCTTCCGCGTTCATGCGAAGGGTACGAGAGGGCCACCTGACACCGAACGATGGGCGTGTCGCACGTCATGCGTTGGACGCAGTCGTGCAAGCCGGGATCGAGATCCAGCCCAGTGAGTCCATACGCGGAACGGCGGAACGCCTGTTGGGAGTCCATCCCTTGCGGGCCGCGGATGCGTTACAGTTGGCGGCGGCCATCCAATGGTGTCAGGGGCTGACCGCGGGCAACGGCCTCGTCGTGTTCGACCGACGGTTGCGTGAGGCCGGCTTTGCAGAAGGCTTCACCGTCATCCCGGACAGCCTCTGATGTCTTTTGTTTCCATGATCAAAACAGCATCCCTGACCTCTGTCGCCGTCATCTGTACGTTTCTTCTGTCCGGCACCGCCGGCGCCCAATCGGTGGAGCAGGTGCGGGCGGCGTACGCCGAAGGCCGGTTCGTCGAGGCGGCCGAGCTCGGCGCGGCGTTAAAGACCTCCGAGAGCTATGCGCTGGCCGCTCAATCACTGGCGATACAGGGGCACTTCTTCGCCAAGGGGGAGGAGAAGGAGGCGCTGTTCCAGCGTGCCGTGGAGCTGGCGGAAGAGGCGGTCCGGCTCGATCCGGCAAATCCGGAGGCGCACATCCAACTGGCCCACACCACGGGCCGGTACGGCCAGGCCATCGGCTTCCTGCAGGCGGTCACCGGGGGATATGCCACGAGAGTGCGCGAGTCCGTCGAAGAGGCGCTACGGCTGGACCCGGACAAGGCGGCCGGTCATCTGAGCATGGCGACCTGGCACGCGGAAATCGTCAACGCCGCGGGCGGCATGGCGGGGTTCCTCTACGGCGCCACGGAGAAGAAGGCCCGCGCACACTACGGCCGCACCCTCGAGCTGATGCCCGACGCCAAGGTGGTGTGCGTCGAATACGCCTTCGGATTGTTGCTGATGGACGAGGAACGGAACCGGGAGGAGGCGCGCGGTCTGCTCGATCGCGCCCTCAAGAAACCCTCCAGGGACGCCGTCGACCGGCTCTATCACGAACAGGCGGCGGCGCGGCTGGCCGCTCTCAAGGGCGGCTAGGAGCCTGTCCGAATGGGGCGACCAGCCGGTCGCCCCTACGGGGTCCGCCTCAGCGTAGGCTCCTAGCCGCGCGCAACCCGCTCTCACGCGGCGTCGGGCCACCCCAAAGCGTCCTTCACCCCCGCCGCGTAGGCCGGGTCGGCCTTGGCGAAGTGCTCGAGCTGCTTTTCGATGATCCTCCGCGGGACTCCATCCATCGCCTCGGCGATGTTGCTGAAGAGACGCCGCTTCTGGCCGTCGTCGAACAGCCGGAACAGGTTTCCTGCCTGGGTGTAGTCGTCGTTGCCCGCCCGGTGGTCGTAGCGGGAGGCGTCACCCGAGACCTTGAGCGGCGGCTCGGCATAGCTCTTGTCCTGCACCGGGCCGCCGAAGCTGTTGGGCTCGTAGTAGGCGTCGGTATTGCCGTGCCGGGGCTCGAAGAACCGCATGGGGCCGTCCTTGTGATAGTGGTGCACCGGGCACTTGGGCGCGTTGACCGGCAACGCCTCGTAGTGCGTGCCCAGGCGGTAACGGTGCGCGTCGGCGTAGGAGAAGATGCGCGCCTGCAGGACCTTGTCCGGCGAGAAGCCGATGCCCCGTACGATGTTCGAGGGGGAGAGGGCGGCCTGCTCCACCTCGGCGAAGTAGTTCTCCGGGTTGCGGTTCAACTCCATCACGCCCACGTCGATCAGCGGGTAGTCGCCGTGGGGCCAGACCTTGGTGAGGTCGAACGGGTTGTACGGCGTTTTCTCCGCGTCCTCTTCCGGCATGATCTGCACCTTGAGGTCCCACTTCGGGTACGCGCCCTCCTCGATGGCTCCCGAACAGGGCCTCCTGGTAGGACTCCCGGGTCCGGCCGATGACCTCGGCGCTTTCCGCGTTGGTGTAGTGCCGGTGCCCCTGCCGGGTCTTGAAGTGGAACTTCACCCAGAAGCGCTCGTTGTCCGCGTTGATGAAGCTGAAGGTGTGGGAGCCGTAGCCGTTCATGTACATGGGCGCCGTGGGGCAGCCGCGGTCCGACATCAGGATGGTGATCTGGTGCAGCGACTCCGGGGACTGCGACCAGAAGTCCCACATGGCCACGGGGCTCCGCAGGTGCGTCTTCGGATGCCGTTTCTGGGTACGGATGAAGTCCGGGAACTTGTAGGGGTCGCGGATGAAGAAGACCGGGGTGTTGTTCCCCACCAGATCCCAGTTGCCTTCCTCGGTGTAGAACTTCACCGCGAAGCCGCGCACGTCGCGCTCGGCGTCCGCCGCCCCGAGCTCACCGGCCACGGTGGAGAACCGCGACCAGCACCTCGCATTCGGCCCCGGGCTGGAGGACCCTGGCCCGGGTGTAGCGCGAGATGTCGTGGTTGACGGTGAAGGTCCCGTACGCGCCCCAGCCCTTGGCGTGCACCACCCGCTCGGGAATGCGCTCGCGGTTCTGATGGGCGAGCTTTTCGATGAGCTGGTAGTCCTGCAGCAGGATCGGCCCGCGTTCTCCGGCGGTGAGGGCGTTCTGGTTGTCGGCCACCGGCGCGCCGGCGCTGGTGGTCATCACGGGGCATTGTTTCTGGGACATGCTGCTCTCCTTTCTCCTGAATAAACCGCTGTTCTGTCTTTCAGTATAAAGGAAAAAATTCGACAAATAAATTTGATAATTATTCGCATCATGATAACTTAAACTTATCATGGACATCACCCTGCGGCAGCTCGAATACTTCGTGGCCGTAGCCGAGCGCCTGAGCTTCCGGGCCGCGGCCGAGGCGTGCTTCGTTACCCAGCCGGGCCTGAGCATCCAGCTAAAGGAGTTGGAGGGACAGTTGGACGTGCAACTGTTCGAGCGCAGCCGGCGCAGGGTCCTGATCACCCCGGAGGGGGAGACGCTGCTGCCCCTGGCCCGGAGCATCCTGACTCAGGCCGGCGAGCTCGTGGACACGGCTCGCAGCCTGACCCGGCCGCTATCCGCCACGCTGCGGCTGGGGGTCATCCCCACCGTGGCGCCCTACCTGCTCCCCAAGGCGCTGCCGGCCATCCGCCGGCGGTATCCGGAGTTGCGCATCCTGCTGCACGAGGACTTCACGCACCGGCTGCTGGCGCTGTTGAGGGGAAGGGAAGCTGGACCTGCTGCTGCTGGCGTTGGAGGCGGACCTGGGCGACGTGGCCACCCTGCCGCTGGCCGCGGACCCCTTCGTGGTGGCGGTGCCCGAGGGCCACCGGTTCGCCGCGCGCAAGCGCCTGACCGAAGCCGACCTCGCCGGCGAGCAGGTGCTGCTGCTGGACGACGGCCACTGCCTGCGGGACCAGGCCCTGGAGGTATGTCAGACCGGAGGTGCCAGCGAGGTAGGCGACTTCCGTGCCGGCAGCCTCAACACGCTGGTGCAGATGGTGGCGGGCGGCATCGGCATCACCCTGCTTCCGCAGCTCGCCCTCGAGGTGGAATGCCGCGCTCCCTCGTCCATCGTCATCCGGCCCTTCCGCAAACCCGAGCCCAGCCGCACCATCGGCCTGGTGTGGCGAACGAAGTCACCCGCGTGAGCATGAATTCCGGCTGCTGGCGGACTGCTGGCGACGTAACGGCCGTGGAAACAGCCGCCCCCTTCCCAGTCCTTCCGGTCGTGTGCTGTTTGCAGGCTTGATAGAGTGGATTCAGGATCTTATTGAGGGTTTCACTTGATATGTGGCTGTAGCTCGGAGACCGACAAGATGAACATTACCCTGAGTATTGACGAGGAAATTGTGAAGAAGGTCCGCAAGATCGCTGTCGACAAAGATACCACGCTGACGGCGATGGTCAGAGAGTATCTGACATCCGTCGCCAACCATGACCTCGCCCAACGCACAGAGCACGTAGCTCGGCTGAAAGATGCTCTTCAGAGAATAGGTCGAGATATGGGGCCGCGCAAATGGACGCGGGAAGATCTACATGCCCGCTAGAGAATTCCTGGACACAAATGGCTGAGGTGGTCCTGAAAAATCGGACAGGTTGCTAAGGTGTATTCCGCCTAGAGAGGGAGGGATACGCGATGACGACACGACGGCGATTCACAGGGGAGTTCAAAGCGAAGGTAGCGCTGGAGGCACTGCGCGGGGACAAGACGATCCAGGAGATCGCGGTGCGGCACAAGGTTCATCCGAACCAAGTGAGTACCTGGAAGCAGCGGGCGGTGGAGGGGATGAAGGAGGTCTTCACGAAGGGGGCGGAGCGGGCACGTGGGGACCATGAGGGGGAGATCCGGGACCTGCACGCGAAGACCCAACTCAAGGCCGCCCTTGAAGCGCATCGAATCAAACCCCGCCTTGACACCGTCATTCACTCTCAAACCAGGGCTCACTGATGTTTGACTCGCAACGCCATTCCCGCTAATTTTCAGCAGCGAACGGGATCTCCCCGCTGAGGCGCGCGGCATGAGGTTAGAAAATGTGAGAGACGGCAGGAGATTCCAGAACGACCACGGTTTCGCGGCGCCGTTGCCGAGGTAAGTATAAAATGCCGAAACCGCAAAAAAGGCCCAATCTACCGGCGCGGCGCTCCAACAATGACAAACGTCGCTTGATCCCGAATCCGGCTCCGGATTACATTGCGCAATTGCGACAGAACATAACATACCAAGGAAGTTCTAAACATAAACAAAATCCTCTTCTCTATGGCCTTCCGCTGTTTCAAGGAAATAGAGGAGACGCGACACTCTGTGATCGTGACGCCAATTTTCAGCCTGCAAACCTTATTTCGATACCCCGAATGATTCAGCGCGGTCTGCAGGCGGGACTCGTGGGCGAAAATGGCATAATCTGGGCAGTTGCGGATAATGGATGGATTTATGAAGCTAGGATTACCAATGTTGGGAAAACCGAGTATCATGGATATCCGGTTCGGAGTACGGAGCCAATAGCTGAGTTGGTGTACGGACGATTTAGGGAATGGGTGGAAGGTCACGGCAACCAATCGGCGCATCAAGCAGTTCAGCATTGCAAAACTCTATATGGATTTAGATAATGGGGATTTTCGAGATAGACATCAGGTCTGCGGCCGATGCATCTTGGGACATGCCACAAGCTATATCGTTGCGCTCGGGCGAAGTATGTTTTACCGAATTAGTCCGGAATGGAGGCAATAGATCGGACGACTATTTGCAAGCTCCGCCAGTTCAGTTGGCGTTTTGGCTAACGGACAATTGGTGGCGCTTACGTTGGGAGCCGGTGGTTTCCGACAGAGTCTATCCCGACTGGCGCCTGGCTCACGAGCTCGCTGCCATCGGCGGCGGATACATATGGCCAAGACTTCGGATTTGGAGCGAAGACACTCGTGTTGGCCTTGCTTCTCGTAGTGACCCGCTTAGCATGAATTTTGCCTTGCGATATACAAAGGACGCCTTGGTGTTTGTAAGTGCAGATCAATTTGAAGTAGCGGTTGACGAGTTTCTGGAAAAGGCTGTTGACGCGAATTCGGACGACAAGGTGGCGCTAAATGCGCAATTTTTAGCTTTGAAGGACGAGCGGAACGATCAGGATATTGCGACGTGGCGTCGGCTTGAGGCAAAGTTGGGATACGACGTAGACAACGCCCCGGACCATTTGATTGAGACTGTGCTGAAGTATGTGAAGACCTATGGGCATAGTGGCGTTGAAGAGGCGATAGTGGCAATTCAAGGGGAAGCAGCCGCCGATACGCTGGAGGAAGAAATCGACGTTGCGAAAAGGTCACGAGTAGTTTGTGATTTGCATGAAGCTGTAGCGACGGCGGGAAGTATAAGGAACGGGTCAAGCAAACCGATTTGGGAGACGGCAGAAGAGGCAGCCATGGCAGTGCGGCGGGGCTTGGGTGTTCAAGGAAGGCCGTTGACAAATACGCGATTGGCAGACCTGTTGAATATCTCTAAAGATGATTTTCGCGGCGGAGAATCCGAAGGAACAAAACTTCATTATGGTCTTCGTCTGCGAGAAGGAGACCGAGAAGAAGATGTGGTAGCCCTGTGCGCGCGGTGGCCGCAAGCCCGCCGGTTTGAGTTGTGTCGAACTTTGGGCGATGCAATCTGGTCCGGTAGCGATGCCCTTGGGCCAATGACGAGGACCAAAACAGGGCGTCAAAAATTTCAAAGGGCTTTTGCGCAAAGTTTGCTTTGCCCCTATGATGATTTATTGACTTACATTGGTACAGAGCAGCCGTCCGAGGACGACATTTCTGCCGCCGCGCGGCATTTCCATGTTTCGGAAAGAGTAATTCAGACAGTGTTGGTTAATAAAGGGATAGTCGACAGACAACAGTTTGATGAGATGGTTGAATCAGCTTAGTTGAAGTGGCCGAGACTCCTGACCCGCTCCCGCTCGGTCCCGCGTCTTCGGAAACCGCACCCGCACTAGGGCCACCCCTTGGCCCCCTCGGTCTGCCGCCTTGTTCCGCACTAGGCCCTCGTCGCGGATCTTGCCCCGTAGCGCGTCGAAGAACACCACCGGATAGACCGGGTCCAGGGGCAGGTTCTGCTATTCCCGCATCTCCTTGAGCGCCGCGTCGGTGACCCGGCTGATCAGGTCCGGTGATACCGCAACTCCGTAAAGCTCCTCCAGGTGACCCCGAATCTCGCACACCGTCATGCGCCGCGCGTACAGCGACACGATGCGGTCGTCGAAACTGTCAAGACGCCGCTCGCCCTTGGGCATGACCGCCGGCTCGGACGTGCCGTCGCGGTCTCCCGGCACCATCGGGAGATCGATCGGCGGATGACCAGGACATATAGCGGCGTGCCCACTAGGAGGTCCGGGGGGACGAGGAACGCTTCATTCAAGGCTTGCAAGAGAATCGACTTCCGCATATAATTCTTGCAACACATTAAGTGCAAGATCAATCGAGTAAAAGAGGTCCGGTGGCCGGTCAGATCATCGGTACGCGGCTCAAGGCGTTGAGGCAGGAGCGCTCTCTCTCTCAGGACGGGATGGCGCGCTTGTTCGGTTTCAAGGATCGGCAGACCGTGTCGGCAATAGAGACCGGCGTGCGGCGTGTGACTGCAGAGGAACTGTTGCTCGCCGTGGAGAAGCTGCGTGTGCCGCTCGACTATTTCACCGATCCCTTTCGGCTGGACGGCGAGGCGTTGTTCTCCTGGCGGCAGAGGGGCGTCGGGCGGTTCGAGCTTGGCGAGTATGAGCGGACGGCCAGCCGCTGGGTCGGTGCGTACCGGGCCTTGGCCGAGCAGGTCGGTCAACGGGCGCCGTTGATGCGTCGGGCCCTTGGGCTGACCAAGCTGTCGAGATTCGAGGACGCGGTGGACGCTGGCGAACGGTTTGTTGCCGAATTCGAACTCGGGGTTGTGCCGGCGCAACGTCTCGCGGCGGCGATGCAAGACCAGTTCGGGATACTCGTGCTCATGGTGGACGCTTACCGAGGTATTTCTGGAGCGGCATGCCGTCTGCCTGAGTTCGACGCGGTGCTGATCGCACGAGGGGAAGTGGCGGGGCGCCGGAACTTCGACTTGGCGCATGAGCTGTTTCACATCCTTACCTGGGAAGCGATGCCGCCCGAGCACGCGGAAGATGCCAGCGATTTCGGCGGCAATCGGGTGGAGCAACTCGCCAACAATTTCGCGGCTGCCGTGCTGATGCCGAGGGCGGCGCTTGAATCCTTTGGCGATTGGGCGCGGCTGGACATGGATGGCTTGATCGCTCGACTGAACGTTACGGCAGACGAATTGGGTGTGACCTCCTCGGCCCTCAGGTGGCGTTTGGTCGCCCTTCGGGAGTTGACCAAGGGGAAGGCGCGAGCAATTCCGGAAGGCGCTTTGCGGAACAACGGCCGCGAGGACTCCTCGGAGCCTCCGCCTTTATTCTCGCGGCCATTCGTGGAGGTGATGGCGAAGGCCATCGACCAGGGCCATGTTTCGGTTCGGCGTGCGGCGGGGCTGGTCGGACTCCCGATCGAGGACCTGGAGAAGCTGTTTGCGGCCCATGGCGTGGATCAGGCGATTGATCTGTGAGCAGAAGGGTCGACCACGAGACGGCGGTGCTCATGGACACCAATGTGCTTCCGAGGATCTGAACCCGGGTCAAACCTACCACGGGATCGTGGTCGTCAATCCGTTTTGAGGCGGGTTACCAGATGGTCTGTGAATAGAACGCGCGGATCGCGGAATCCGAGGTGACAAGCGGGCAGGCGTGCAGGCTCGCGGTTGCCACGATCGTCCGGTCGGCGGGGTCCCGATGATCCCAGTCGAGCTCGATGTTCTTGATCCAGGTCAGGACATCCACGGGAAGAATATCCACGCGGTCGATTGTTTCCAGTTTGTCCGTGAACTCCTGGATGGAAACCGGAATGAACAGCCTTTCCCGTTTCACCTTGATACCGATCTCCCAAATGGAGATGGAACTGAGGGCGATGCGGTCGGTGCTGGAGATTGCCTGTGCTGCAGCCTCGGAGAGGCGGGCTCGGTCCAGGGTCCAGAAAATGAGCGCCGAGGTGTCCAGAACGATCATTTATGACTCGGCCCATTCATCGGTGGTCGGTGTGTCGATGTCTTCACGGTAGACAACCCCGCCCTGAATCGCGCCAAACACTTCTTCCACGGTCTTCTTTCGATCGATGGCTGAATCCGCAGGACCGGGCGGTTGTGATCCGTAACGATCAGTTCCTCGCCGCTCTCTTCGATGTCGCGGAAGATACGAAGCATGTTTGCCTTGAGCTTTGCTTTTGGAGATGGAAGTCATTTGTTTCTCCATATTATGACCGTAGTCACGACTCTAGTCATATATCAATTGCACCCTTCTTTGTCAATCCCCTCTTGCCTGTCGAGCCGGTGTCGATTCGGCCAGGAGTGCGTCAATCGTGCTATGCTGAGAACTCGTCGATGAACCACACTGACCACATGCACCCGTCGGCTGATACGTCCTCGAACGCCATCACGAGAGATCCCGTGTGCGGGATGGAGGTTTCTCCTTCGTCCGGCAAACCGTCGCTGGAGCATCTCGGGCAGCGGTACCATTTCTGCTGCGAGGGGTGCATGCGAAAGTTCACCGCGGCGCCTGAGGATTACCTCGAGGCGAGGGACCCGGTCTGCGGCATGACGGTCCATCGCTCCACCGCGCGGTACATGACCCGGCACGCTGGAGAACGATTCTATTTCTGCTCCGAGCACTGTCAGGCGCGCTTCGAGGCCTCGCCCGACGACCACCTCGGTCCGCGTTCCGAACCCGAGCCGGCGCCCGAGGGCGTGCGCTACACGTGCCCGATGGACCCGGAAATCATTCGCGATGCTCCGGGAGACTGCCCTGTCTGCGGTATGTCCCTCGAGCCCATGATGCCGTCCGCGGATGTCGGGGCCAATCCGGAGCTGTTGGATTTCCGGCGGCGTCTCTGGATCGGCGCGCCCCTCGGCCTCGCCACTCTTGTCCTGGAAATGGGTGGACACCTCGGGCTGCCGATGGCGGAATGGCTGGGACCGCGCCTGCACGTCTGGCTCCAGTTTCTGTTGGCGACCCCGGTGGTGCTGTGGGTGGCGCTGCCGTTCTTCAAGCGCGGCTGGGCTTCGGTGGTCAACCGCAGTCCCAACATGTGGACCTTGATCGCGCTCGGGGCGGGGGCCTCCTACGCCTTCAGCGTGGCGGCCGTCTGGCGCCGGGCCTGTACCCGTTGTCGGTGCGCGGGCCGCACGGGCTGCCCCCGGTCTACTTCGAGGCGGCGGCGGTCATTCTCATCCTGGTGTTGGTGGGCCAGATATTCGAGCTCTCGGCGCGCGAGCGGACCGGCGGCGCGATCCGGGCGCTGCTCGACCTCGCGCCCAAGACCGCGCGGCGGGTGACGGACGAGGGCGACGAGGACGTGCCGCTGGAAGCGGTGAAGGTCGGCGACCGGCTGTTGGTGCGGCCCGGAGAGAGCGTGCCGGTGGACGGCGTCGTTCTCGACGGACACTCCGCGGTGGACGAGAGGCTGCTCACGGGCGAGCCGATCCCGGTGGAGAAAACGGCGGGCGACACGGTAACGGGCGGCACCATCAACCAGTCGGGCTCGTTCGTCATGCGCGCCGAGGGGTCGGCTCGGATACGGTGCTGGCGCGGATCGTCGACATGGTCGCCGCGGCGCAGCGAAGCCGCGCTCCGGTCCAGGCCCTGGTGGACCGCGTCGCGAACTGGTTCGTGCCCGCGGTGGTGGTGGTATCGCTGATCGCGTTCGTCGTGTGGCTGATCGTCGGTCCCGCGCCCGCCCTCGCCCATGCGGTGGTGGCGGCCGTGAGCGTCCTCGTCATCGCCTGCCCGTGCGCGCTCGGGCTCGCCACGCCCATGTCGATCATGGTGGCAACCGGGCGCGGCGCTCAGGCGGGCGTGCTCGTGCGCGATGCCGCGGCGCTGGAGAGCCTCGCCAAGGTGGACGTGCTGATGGTCGACAAGACCGGCACCCTGACCGAAGGGAAGCCCGAGCTGACCGACGTGATCGCCGCGGATGACGGCATGGACGAAGCCGAGGTCCTTTCGCTCGCCGCCTCCCTCGAACGCGGATCGGAGCATCCGCTGGCGGAGGCGATCCTCGCCGGCGCCGAGTCGCGGGGGGCGGTGCTCCATGAAACGACGGACTTCGAGGCCATCCCCGGCAGGGGCGTCCGGGGCCGGGTCGCGGGCCGCGCGGTGGTCCTGGGCAATCTGGCGCTGATGCGCGTGCTCGATGCCGACCTCGGCGAGCTCGCGGGCGCCGGCGAACGGTTGCAGGAGGCGGGCAAGACCGTGATGTTCGTTGCCGTAGACGGGAAACCGCGGGGCTCGTGGCGGCGGCGGACCAGATCAAGCCCACCACCCGCGAGGCCATCCGGATGCTCCGCCGTTCGGGGCTCCCGCATCATGATGGTGACAGGGGACAGCGAGAGGGCCGCGCGGACGGTCGCCGGCGCTCTCGACATCGAGGATTGGCGGGCCGAAGCGGTCCCCGAGGACAAGCGGGACATCGTGGCCGAGTTGCACGCCCGCGGCCATCACGTGGCCATGGCGGGCGATGGCATCAACGATGCGCCGGCGCTCGCCGCGGCCGACACGGGCATCGCCATGGGGACCGGCGCGGACGTGGCCATCAAGAGCGCCGGAGTCACCCTGATGCGCGGCGACTTGAACGGCATCGTCCGCGCGCGGCTGCTGGCCCGCGCCACCTTGAGCAACATCCGGCAGAACCTGTTCTTCGCCTTCGTCTACAACACGGTGGGGGTGACCATCGCGGCCGGCGTCTTCTACCCGATGTTCGGCGTGCTCCTGTCGCCCATGGTCGCCGCCGCCGCCATGAGTCTTTCGTCGCTGTCGGTGGTCGGAAACGCCCTCAGGCTGAGGCGCATCCGGCTTGGGTGAAGACGTGGACCGCGTGCCCCCTCGGCCAGAACGGCGAGCGCCAGCCCCGCCGCGGTCTCGACCGTTGCAACCCTGGATCTCCCTTCACAGCCAGGCCAGCAGACCCCTGGTCCGGTGTGGTCCGGCGAAGGAAGTCCTCGACCGGCAGGCACCAGACGTCGTCGATCCGCAGCCGGTCCCGGCCGCGATAGAGCAGGGCGGTCTCTGCCTCGGGATAGTCGTCGCGAAATGCCCTGAGAGCCCGGAGGTCGGCGGAATGGACCCGGCCGGTGTTCTTGACCTCGAAGGCCTGAAGCCCCAATTCTCCGTAAACGACGAAGTCGACCTCGGTCCCGGCGCGCGGTGCGCCAAAAGAACAGGTCCGCGTGGTGCCTGGAATACGCGGCCCACGCGCGGAGATGCTGAGCCACCAACCCCTCCAGCGCCTGACCGTCTATCTCCTCGGGACGGTCCAGCAGCCCCTCGGGCGCAATGAACGGAACACGCCGGCGTCGAACAGGTAGATCTTTTCGTGGGTTATGGTGGCGCGCTTGGCCGGTTTGCGGAAAGACGGGCAGCCGGAATGCCAGCAGCAGATCCTCGAGGATGCCGATGTATCCGGCAACGACCTTGCGCTCGACCTCGCACTCCCGTGGCCACCGCCGAGACATTCAGCAGGCCGCCGTGGGAGAAGCTGATGGCTTCAAGAAACCGGGCAAAGTTCCCGATGTTCCGTGTGAGCCCTTCAGCTTGTACTTCCTGTTCGAGATACAGGCTCGCGTAGGCGTCGGACATCGGTTGGCTCGGGCGCGCCAACCACAAGCGGCCACCGTGCAAGGCCAGAGCCAGGCTGCGTCAGCAGTCCGAGTTTCTGCAAAGCGCTTTCCAAGATCGAAGTCAGGCAGTTCCGCCGCCATGAAGGGATGCATGGTACGGTGCACGGCCCGTCCGCCCAAGAGGTCCACGCCCCCCCGCCGAAGCTTTCGCGCGCTGGATCCCGTCAGGATGAACCGCGGCGGCGACGGTTCCTCCAGGAGCCCGTGAACCACGGTGAGCAACTCCGGAACCCGCTGGATCTCAACGATGACCACGGCCGGGTCGGGCGACGAGCGAGGCCAGCAAATTCGCGGAGGCGTCAGGGCGATGCGCTCAGGCTGCGATGCAGGGGCGGTTCCAGCAGGCAGTCCAGAACGCGGCAGCTGGGAGCCGGTGGCGCAACCAAGTGGACTTGCCGGTCCCGCGGGGACCGAAGAGGAAGCAACTCTGGCCTGGAAATTCTAGAAATCGACTTAGTAGTTCCATTTCTAGTCTAAAAATGGAAACTTCACATCCAACTAGTTTCCATCTTAAGCTGGACAATAACGGTGTAATGCGCGAGTCGAGGATAAACCCCGCCAACACGACTAGGAGCGGGTCAAATTGTAGCTATCATCTTCACGAAATCGCGAATACGACTGAAGGCTGCGTGGTTAAGGTCCCAGTAACCATTCTTCGCTGCCACGCCTACGGACAAGTGAGGTTTGGGTTTTGTTGCCAGAAACGCATGTGCGCGGGCCTTGCTGCGTCGTTCAATAGATGTCCCCGGTAACGCCGCCGCGCAGGCGAAAAAGTCGTCAATGCACCTATCTACCGGAGTACCCGCAAAGGTCTCGCAAAGCAACGTTTCAAGCATCCCGTCTCGATCGGCACTAGGTAATTTAATATCATGGCCCGTCACATTGGGTAGGGGTTTCCACGGCACGTATTCGCGGCCTATGTGGCACGGGCAATTTGGCGTTCAGTAAGGAGGACTGAACGCTCTGGAACGCGCCCTCGGCAGATGTTTCTGCGTCGCGGACGATTCCTACACTATCGACGGCTCGTGCAAAGCAGGCAGACATTGTAACGAAGCGCCACCCACGAAATCCAGGAGTAGTTCGCGGTCACACCGCCAAAATTCTGAATTTGGATTCCTTTGAAGGATAGATGCTCGACCAGTCCGTCAAAGAAATTACGCTGGTCATTCCCTTCGACAAGAAGCTGCACTCTCGATTCGATTGTGGTCGCGGATGGCATCCCTATCGAACCTCCAGACCATGTTGAATCGCAGCGTTGATGGAGTCCGGCTCGTACGTGATACAGTGGCTCTTCTTCTTGCCGACCTCTAGCCTGTGCAGGCGAAACCTGTCGTTTCCCAGGGATCCATGCGCGCTGGTGATCGCATTCCAGACTGCGGGGAGTGGATTGCGAAGATCTGCGGCCCAACTGTCGAGTCGGCTTCTGTCAATAACTTGCGCACTACCTCAGCAGCACGGCGGCAAATGCGTGTTGCATGCCATTTCAACTCGTCTACGAGAACGATACCGTTGGGTGTGGACGCGATGGCGATCACGAGACGAGCGATTTGACTCATACCCTCGCCCATCACGGACAAGCTACGGTGGCTACCAGTTCGGTAACACGAGCATCACCCCAGATCACAGCGCATCCGCGGAAGAATATCGCGATGCTCTGGAGTCTCGGCTCGACCACCTGAAGCGCCCGGAGAACCAGATCCCCTTGTTTCTTTCGCCTCAGCGTTCCCAGACGAACGGACTCGTCGCGCACATCTGCGATGCGAGACCAACAGAACATGATAGCAGTATGTATGCAGTAGATGTTGGAGCGGTGTATGTGGGGGTTGAGTTGCTCGAGCTCGATATCACTGGCCCTTCATACGTATGTGGCCTTCCACGGGTTTGCCAGAAGGCCCGTTGTACTTGAACGTCAAAGCCCGTTCGTCGAAGAGGTTGGTCGCTGACATGCGATCTGCGCCGTCCAGGGGGATCTCGGTAGTTGGTCGTCGCTCGAACCCGATCTCCAACGCCAACTCACCGTATGACGTATGATATCCACCGATCGCGATCGGTGTTCCCATGTCTAAATCTGTGAAGAGTTGCTTCCACAAGGGGGGCGTCACTGCCCCGGTGAAGTCCATGTCACGGAGTACATTGGTATTCATCGCAACTTGCGCGTTTCCGGCCCACGCCAACAGAAAAATTGCCTCAAGCAAACTCGTTTTGCCCGAATGGTTTCTGCCGGCAATCAGATTGACGCCGCTCAATGGGTCGACTTCGAGCCGGTTGAAACCGCGAAAATTTCGTATTTGCAAGCGTTTCAACATGGCCTTTGCTCCTCGCTTTGGCCGCTTGTACCGGTACGAAACACCCTTGCCTGTCGCTTCACGGCCAACGCCCCAAACCAGTGGTTCAGCTACGGTGGTCTACAGGCTGTGCTTGTTCGCCAGCAACGGCAACCATTATAACGAATGTGGCGATGGTTTCGAGAACGGCGGCACGGACGCAAACCGCCGTCACATTTCGTAGTATCCGTTCATGACGGCGTCATGCCAGACCTTGGTGATCACCGGGCAGACGCCCAGGGGCAGGCCGTCCTCGGTCTTCCAGTAGGAATGGGATGCCGGTGCGATCTCGACACACGCGCACCTTCGGGGCCGGCCGGGTTCATAGCAGAGTAGTCGGTCTTGACGATGCTGTGTACTTCTCGGGGGTAGGTCCCGGCTTCTGCCTGAACTTGTGATGCCGTAGAGGAGCGGAGCCGGGATACGGCTTGGCGTCCGGGCCCGGAGGAGGGCGGCCGTCGTAGCTCAGGTAGCGCGTCCACAGGCCGGGTCTCTCGGCGTCATATGAGGCGCTCGCCGTGACATTGGCGGCTGTTCGGTGAGTAGGCATCGGTGGCTGTCGCTGTGGAGGCAGTTCTCGGGCCGTCACTTGACTGGGGAAGCGCTGGCCTGCTCCCACATCTCGAAGATCTCTCCATCAACCACGCCAGCA